AGGCTTTGCTCAAGATCTGGTCAGCAGACAGAAGAATTCAGCGGACCACAGCTGGGCCTTTATACTTGTGAACTTGGCTGCTTCAAACCATGTTCTTCAGTTAGGGGACCATAGCGTGTTGACCTCCTCACCTGTTAAGTCACTTAGATTGGTCTCAAGGGATGAACTGCTATCCTCCATGATGCTGTGCCATTTTTAGCTGTAACTTACCTCCTCCCTGGTCTGGACCCCCTCGGGATAAGGATATCCTTCAGGGAGAATGCCCAAGTCCACACTGTGTGGACTGCCCACATGTGATGTTTACACCATTAGTTGGTGGATACTTGGGTTTTCTCCAATGTAGGGCCACTGTCAATAGGGCTGCCGTGAAAATTTGTACATTTTTTTGTTTTTGGTCTTTTTGAGACGGGGTCTCCCTGTAGCCCCAGCTGTCCTGGAACTCACTATGTAGACCAGGCTGGCCTTGAACTCACAGAGATCCGCCTGCCTCTGCCTCCTGAGTGCTTTTATACGCATAAGTGTTTCCTTCTAGGCGGAAACTGCTACACAATATGTCAACTCTACCTAACAGCTGAGGTCCTTCCAGGCTGATTTTCAAAGCACTGGAGCCATGTTACACTTACACAGCCGAGTGGGAAGTTCTAGTTTCTCCACATTCTGGGATCACTTGTTATTGCCCAACTTTTTATTGTAAACATGCCAGTAGGTGTGATGTGATATCTCACAGTGGTTTTTTGCATCTTCCTGACGATGATGCCTAACATCTTTCATAGGCTTACTAGACACTTGTATATCTTCTCTGGAGAGAAGCCTAATCAAATTTTATTGTAAACATGCCAGTAGGTGTGATGTGATATCTCACAGTGGTTTTTTTTGCATCTTCCTGACGATGATGCCTAACATCTTTCATACGCTTACTAGACACTTGTATATCTTCTCTGGAGAGAAGCCTAATCAAAGTCTTAGTCCATTTTTAATTAAGTAATTGGAATTTTAAGCGTTATTAGGATAGGCTACATACAGGCCTTCCATGTGGGATTTGATTACCCAAATTCCTCCCATTCCCTGCTGGTCTCCCCACTTTCTTGATGGCGTCCTCTCAAGAATGAAAGTTTAAATTCCGACCAGGTCTGATTTCTCTATTTCTTTCTGTCCTTTGCGC